TGAACGAGTGAATGCATGAGTCTGGGAATGGGGAACAGGGAAGGCCTAATGGAGGAACTAGCATGCAGGAGAAGAGGTTATGTTTGGGACTTTTTTCTGTTGGTTAGTTAGTTAGTTAGTTAGTTAGTTTGTTTGTTTGTTTTGAGACGGAGTCTCGCTCTATTACCCAGGCTAGAGTGCAGTGGCGTGATCTTGGCTCACTGCAACTTCCACCTCCCGGGTTCAAGTAATTATTCTGTCTCAGCCTCCTGAGTAGCTGGGACTACAGGCACATGCCACCACGCCCAGCTAATTTTTGTATTTTTATTAGAAATGGGATTTCACCATATTGGCCAGGCTGCTCTTGAACTCCTGACCTCCTGATCCGCCCACCTCAGCTTCCCAAATTCTGGGATTATAGGTGTGAGCCATTGTGCCCAGCTATGTTGGGGACTTTCAAGAGTCAACGGGCAACATGGAGCTCTGTGCAGTGTCAAAGGAGGAGACGAGCCCTGGCTTCAGAACGCCAGGCTTCTAACCTGAGCAGCACCACTTGCAGCTGGCCTACGTTCTTTTTTAGCCTCTGGTTTCAAACACAAATACTATGAAATAATTATAGCAAGAGGCAGAGGGTAAAAGGCACCTGAAGAGCTACCATAATCAATGGACTAATCAATGGACTGAGATCTGCCTTGACTTGCAGCTCTGATCATCCAGGCTTCCTTTTCCTTCCAGAAAGTCATGGATCCAGCCCATCTCCATGACAACTTCCCTTCTGCCTGGAAAGAATGGCTTCTCCATGCCTACCCCAGCCATCTCCACTTCTCTTCCCTTTCCACTCAGTATCCCCACCAGCTGTCTCTCCAATTCACTTTCCCACCACACCCTTGATGGACAGAACTGCGTAATTGTGTGATGGCGGAAAGCTAATTTGTACTTCTGTGCTGGCAATGAAGTGTCTGGAGCTTTGCGGTTGACGTTGAGAAGCAGAGGGGATCCCCCACCCCATCTCTGGTTCTCCCTCAAACTCAAATCACAAATTCTCCACTCTATCTGCAAGGGCCCAGGGACAGAGGGGCTGTAACATAACCCAAACCAAACAGCCACTCACAGAAAGTCATGGGAAGAAAAAAATCTTTCCGTTTGCAAGACAAGCATCTGGTGGTTCTCTCCCTGTCTCTTGGTAAAGGTCGTTGGTTCAGTTTCCCTTTCCACCTCCTGCAGGGTCCTGTCAGCACCTGTTTTCTTGGGCACAGGTTGGGAGACAGTGTGGTGTTTCTCTTCCTCCCAAATTAAGGCACACTCAGACCAAAAAGCAAACGGGAGGTGCCTCCCAAGGTTTTGCTGCTATCCATTTCTCAGTTTCAGAGGTCTCAAAATCCATAAACCTTAGACACCTAAAGAGGATAGAGAGGAAAAAAGGTTTCTTTTCTTTTTATCTATTTCTTTTCTTTGAGACTGACTCGCTCTGTTACCCAGGCTGGAATGCAGTGGCACGATCTCAGCTCACTGCAGCCTCTGCCTCCCGGGTTCAAGCGATTCTTGTGCCTCAGCCTCCTGAGAAGCTGGGATTACAGGCGCCCACCACCACACCCGGCTAATTTTTGTATTTTAGTAGAGACAGGTTTTGCCATGTTGGCCAGGCTGGTCTCGAACTCTTGACCTCAGGCGATCCACCCACCTCAGCCTCCCAAAGTGTTGGGATTACAGGTGTGAGCCACTGCGCCTAAGCGAAAAAATGTTTCTGAAAGAATATGTGTATGTGCACGCGTACACATGTGGCAGGGGGTGAGAGGGAGAGACTTGTATAATCAGAGGTTTAGTATTTGATACAATGGGAAAGAATAAACAGAATTAAATAGTAACCACCATTTATTGGATCTGTACGATATGCCAAACACGTTGCGAAATGTTTTATGCACAATATTTCATTTAATTTTCAAAGCAACCCCATGAGGCTCGAGAAATGTATGCAGTTGAAGAAACAGGCTTACTGATACACAGCTCATGAGTGGGGCCAAGCTCCAGGACTGAGATCCTGATGCCCATTTTCTGAACCACTGCTGGCTACTGCTTTCCAAGGGCTAGAGATGAGGAAAAAAAGGAAATTGGTTTATGGTGTGGCAGAGGTCCTGCGATGAGACATAAAGAACTCTCTGACAATGAGGGCTGTTTGGTTGTAGTCAGAGTAATTAGGCTTGTTAGAGCTCTTCCTCTGAGGGCCTTTACATTTAAGATGAATGGATGCTTCTATGCCTGGATGGTTTGAGGGAAACGCTCTCTGTTCCCAGCACGGGGCTGGCCTGTTTGAACTAACTGACAGCCTCACTGGGGATACAGGATTGCCACACGCAAAACCGTTAGATAACAGGAGAAGATAGCGCAGGATGTGAGCCCCGAATGGGACTGGCAGAAAGTGAGGGCTACCGACAGGCAGAGGCCAGTGCGGTTCAAAGCAAGGGCTTTGTGGTCAGGCAGGCAGACCTGTGTTTGAGTCCTGGCTGGCTCTACTGCTTCTGTGACCTTGGGTACGTTGCCTAACCTCTCTAAGCTTTGGTTTCCTAGTCAGTAAAAAAAGCCTAAGAATAGAACCTACTTTGGAGGGATGCCATGAAAATTAAATAAGATGATCCATGTAAAATGCTTGGCACAGAACCTGGACATAATCAGAATACAATGGGGGAGGAGCTGCTATAATAATGACTATTGTTGGAGTCCAGAGGTGGAAGACAGCGCGCAGAACAGAGGGCTAGGTCGGTGGGGAGTCGAGAAAGTCTTCCTGGGAAACCTGAGTTTTGTCCTGCAGCTTGAAGAGGTGGTCAGGTGAAATCAATAGGAAGGCATAGAGACGGAGGTAGGCAGGGCTCATGTAATGGAGTGAGATTTCAAATGCCCTATCACTTTCAAAGAAAAATCTGGTTTGATCTGTGGTTGAAGTAGAGAAGGAAGTTGACTATGGGGAAGAGGTGGGAAAGAGATGAGGTCATCCATCCTTGTTTCCAAACCCAAAATGTGAACAGAGACACATCTCAGGGACCTAAACAAGAAATCCGACATCCAGGGCTTCTTTATCCACTTCTGGGCTGTTGTGAGAGGAGAAGGGGTAAGAGCCTGGGAAATGGCTCAGGGCAGAGCTGGTGGCGGATGGGGACAGGACCTGAAACAAGGGAAGTTAGGAAATGTGGGCGAGGCCCTTAATGACTGTGTGGGCTGACTCATGTGGGAGACCTAGCTTCAAGACTGCATGGAGATCCAGCATCCTGTCAGGCGGGAGGCCAATTTCAAGACCCTGGGCATCTCTAGTCTAAAGGGTTGCCAGCTAAGAGTGGGAGTCCCTAGGGGAGCAATACTTGTGCTAACCCAATTATTCCCTAACAGCCTGCCTTATCTCCCTGATGTGAAGATGAAATCCTTAGGACCCAGGTTCTCCAGGAAAGATGCTGCTTGCTTCAGACGCTCTATGCTTTTTTTCTTTTCTTTTCTTTTCTTTTTTTTTTTTTTTTTTTGTGTAGAGATGGAGTCTTCCTCTGTCACCCAGGCTGGAGTGCAGTGGCGCAATCCCGGCTCACTGCAACCTCTGCCTCCTGGGTTCAAGCAATTCTCCTACCCCCAGCCTTCCAAGTAGCTGGGATTACAGGCACATGCCGCCACACCCAGCTAATTTCTTTTGTATTACAGTGGAGATAGGGTTTTACCATGTTGCCCAGGTTGGTCTCGAACTCCTGAGCTCAGGCAATCCGACTGCCTCGGCCTCCCAAAGTGCTAGGATTACAGGCGTGAGCCACCGCTCCTGGCCCAGACACTCTATGCTTAAACATCTGCCAAATACCCACTGTCAACCACTTATGTCGAGCATCATGTGGGCCTTGCCAAAAATGCTAATCCTCAGTTCTTTTCCCTAGAATCTGATTCCATGGGTTTAGAGATTTGGGAATCTATTTTCTAACAAGCATCCAGGTGATTCTTCAGGAAAGGCAAATTTGGAAAAGGCTGACTTGATAGGCTTTTAAATTCCCTTCAGTCCTAAATCTAGGCAGCAGAGAGTGTGTAGCACGAAGGGCCCCCGGCTGATAGCAAGAGGCCGATTCTAGCCGGACCCTGCAGTTCACATGGCCCTGTGCTGGGGAAGCCCTAGAAGGGAAGGAGGCTGCAGAGAAGGAAGTTTCCACCTATCAGCAATCAAGTTCCCAACAGAAGTGAAAATGGAAGTCAGGGAACAACTGGTTTTGAGCATCTTCCTGGGGCTTTTTCCCTTGCCTGGCACTGGCAGGACAGTGTAGGTCTGAGCGGCTTCCACGATACACAGGAAGACACTTAAGCCCAAAGAATTTTTAAAACGTGCCTAAATTCCACAACTAATCAGAGGACGCAGCAATCCAGATCTCCCGGTCTTCACCCTCTTTATTGTTGGGGTGCACTGCAGGGCACGCATGTTTCCTTGTGGCTTGTGGGAAAGCCACTGTCGTTGAGCGCCAGTGTCCCGAGTCCCTGGAAATTCTCCCGAGTGACCTGGAATCTAACATTTCCCTGGATTTGCACAGTCTATGATGGAGAGAAAGAATCGGGTCTGCGGTGGTGGGCAGGACGGAGGAAAGACGGTGAAAGCGGGAAGCACGGGAGGCAGGACTGAAAAGGAAAGAGGCACAGGGGCTGGCTCATAAAACCTGAGGGCCGCGTCCCCATGGGTGACCTGACCCATCAAGGTCTAACACCTGGCGGTGGCAAAGCTGGGCGAGAACCCCTGATCCACCCTCCCAAGGTGGGGCAGGGAAAAGGCAGAGTGCGAAGCGAGGTCTGATTTTGTAGAAGCTTTTTAGAAATTCGCTGTGTCAGAGAAACTAAAAGACCAAACAAAACCCCTAAAAATCCAAGCCCGATTATTTCATCCACGTGGCACAAGAGCAAGCTAAAAAAAAAAAAAAAGTGTGGGGTGTAGGGCGGGGAAAGAGCCACCCGTCCCGCCCCTGCTGGAAGGAAGGGATTTGCCGAGAGAGCAAACTTCTGACACCGCCTGGGTCGCTGACTCCGCGCGGCCCGGAGGGAGGGAGATCGAGGAGGCCGCTCGCACAAAGCCGCGGAGCCGCGGCCCCCTCTCCCAGCCCCCTGCCCGGCCAACGCCAGAGCGCGGGGAGCAGCCGCGGGCCCTTTAAGGGCCGCGAGGTGCGCGGTCTCTTTAAGGCGGGTCCTGGTGGTTTCTGTTTTCTGAAGGAAGTGACGGGGGGTGGGATTGAATGAAAAGTGCAAAACACAGGCTCGCAGCGCCGGAGCCCGGGGCCGCGGAGCCGGGCCGGGGCAGCGTTGTCTCCGCCTCGGGGCCTCCGGGGGCGCGCTGCCGAGCGCTACCCACGTGCGTCCGTGCCACCTCGCGGGCGACCCCGCGGCCAAGGCCCCGAGCGGAGCGGCTACGGAGCGCCCCGAACTAGCCCCCAACTTTGGGCGAAGTTTGCCTGCGCCTCTCCCCGCCCCCACGCGGCGCGCCGGGGCCGCGGACTGCAGCGGCCCCCGGGGATGCGCCTTCCCGGGGTCCCCCCGGCGCTCCCCGCGCTGCTGCTCCTGCTGCCGCTGCTTGCGCCGCTGCTGGGAACGGGTGCGCCGGCCGAGCTGCGGGTCCGCGTGCGGCTGCCGGACGGCCAGGTGACCGAGGAGAGCCTGCAGGCGGACAGCGACGCCGACAGCATCAGCCTCGAGCTGCGCAAGCCCGACGGCACCCTTGTCTCCTTCACCGCCGACTTCAAGAAGGTGAGGCGCCGTCACTCGCCGGGGTGGCACCTTCAAGCCTGAGCCCCCCGGGATCCCAGGCGCCCTCTTGCCTGCAGAAGGGAAGACGGGCCCACGAGGGAGACGCGGCTGGCCCAAGGTCACGCCGGGTTATTCTCTACACCTCTTTGCCCACTCCCCAGCGCCCACCCCTTCATTCTCCCCAAAGAACCCCTCTGCTGCCCTTTCTCACTCCCTCCTCCAGCGCTCCCAGAGCCCCCAGGTGCTGACCCTCCTTCAGAACTCCTAGTAACGACTGGACTCCTTGCTTGGAGTCATTCCCCTGTGCTCTCTGGTGGGAAAGCCCTAGGCGAAGTGTTCTCCCTGTGGGCTCTCACTGCGGGTTCTCGCTGTGTGACCTAGAGCAAGCAAGTCTCTTTCCTCCTATGCCTGGCTTCTCACCCCTGTACAGGGCAATGAGGGGTCTGCGAAGCCTCCCAACCCTGACATTTTGGAGTCCTTGTGTCACCTCTTCCTCTGTTTCACTTTTCTGGAGAGAGCTGATTGCCCCTGGTCCCTCTCAAGCCGGGAGAAGCCCTGTCTCCTCTTTGGTCTGGAAGGCTGGGGCGCTTGCAGCGGGAGGGATCCTGGAGAGAGACCCCAGCTGAGGCCCCCTCCCTCTGGGAGAAGTGCTGCCCTTCACTCTGCCTGGCAGAGAAGCGAGCCAACCCCCCTGTTTTGGCCCAGATTAGGGTTAGGGAGTTAGAGACCAGCCCGCTCTGGGTGGGGGTGTGTGTGTGGGGGGGTGTGTGTGTTTGTTGTGGAGGGAACAAGAAGGGCCTTGCACCCAGGGGGCTAGGGGTTTATCAGGAAATGGGCCTGGAAGGATGGTGAGTGACTAACAGTGACCCAGAGCAGGAAAGCTGGAGGAAAAGAGGGTGGGTGAGTCTTAGGTATTCAAAAGGAGTGTTCTGTCTCCTTCCCCCAGCTAAAGAGAGGCCCTGTGAGGTTCTGTCCCTGGAGGAGTGCAGGGGTGAAGCAGATGAGATAGCTGGGGGAGCCCCCGGCCCGGAGGACCCTCGCTGAAGCTGCCTGTCTTTCTTCCCTCTTAGAGACAGGGTGCTTTACAGGACAGGTGGCAGAGTTTGGGGAGTCAGTTAGGGACCCAGCCAGATTGCCATAGTTAGCAGGGGTGGGGGGTTAGGCTTGACCGCTAGAGGTGGGTGGGGTCGGGGGGTGAGGCTTGACTGCTGATTGCCCCAGGGCCACTGAGTTGTTACTGACATTGGACTTAAGCAGGCAGGTGGGGGGCGGGGTAGTGAGCGTTCACAAATGGGAAGACTTTGTAGCCCATCCTTACTTAGCAGGCCTCAGCTAGGCACTCAGATGTAGATTGAGAGAGAGGGAAGCTGATAGGGTCGGCTTCGCCACCCTGCCTCCCCACCTAAACCTTAGGAGAACTTTATCAAGTGTGTTCTGTTCCTGAAAAATCTATGTTAGTGGCTGGATCCATCAGGAATCGGAGATTTAATCTTCTCTCCAAGCTCTTTGTCCTTGAAAGTTAGCCTCAGGCCAGGCTGTGAGCCTCCCACCCTCCTGCCCACTGGACGTCTTCTTGTGGCTGCACTAGAACCCTGCAGAGAGACTTTCTTGGCTGTGGCCAGGACAGTGAAAGGCAATGGGTAGGACTGAGCTTTTATAGCCTTTAGCTACAGCTGGAAGGTTTTTATTGCTCTGACCTGAAGGGAGAGGTTAAGAAGTGCCCGGGTAGCTGTGATGTGATGGCAGTAGTGGCTGATGGCGGGGGTGGGGTGCTGGGGATTGGAGTGAGGGTATGCTGGGCATCTGACTGCCCAGTTAGAAACTGCATTTGGAGATTGTGAGCACCTCATTTGAATCCCTACAGTGGTTCAGACCTCCACCCAGGTTTCTGAAGTCTGATTTTCAGGTTAGCCTCTGACCCAGAAGCTACCATTTCACACCCACCTCTGGCATCTCCAATTTCATCAGCAGGGGAGGGAATTGGGAGTGGAAGATACAGAAAGGAAACCAGCTTTCCCAAGTCCCTTTAACTCCAGGCTTCTCCATTGGCCTAGGATGGGGTGGAGTTGGAGAGTGCAGTGTGGGGAAGAATAGCCTTACCCTCACCCAGGCCACTCAGTCACTGCCTGCACTGGCCACAGCAGCTTCTATGTCCGAATCCTTCTAGGGTGGGTCACCTCTCAGTTCTCAAGGCCTCGTGCCTCATAGTCTTTGGCAGATTTCCACAAGAAAGTTCGGTCTAGAAGGAATGATTTTTCCTATCAGAAAAAGACTTGGGCTGGGTGTGATGGCTCACATCTGCAATCCCAGGATTTGGGGAGACTGAGGCAAGGGTATCGCTTGAAACCAGGAATATGAAACCTTCAGGCCAAACGAGACCCCTGTCTCTACAAAAAATTAAAAAATTAACTGAGCACACTGGTGTGTGCCTTGTAGTCCCAGCTATCCAAGGAGGCTGAGGCAGGAAAATCACTTGAGCCCAGGAGCTGAGGCTGCACTGAGCTGCAGTTGTGCTACTGCACTCCAGCCTGGGAAGTCATGCTTTTGTGTTTCTTGTACTAAACTCATTTGCAATGGTTTGGGGGAAGTCCTAATCTACTTGGGAAGAGTGACGTTTGCCATTTGATCACTTTGGGGAGAAACAGTCTAGACTGAATGAGACAGACTTCGTTTACCACTTATTAGCAGGTTCACCCTGGGCAAGCTATTTGATCTCTCCAGGCCTTCATTTCTTTATCTGTAAAATGGGGATAATAATAGCACATATCCCATGGTTAGTAGTGCCTATGACATACTCATACTGTGTTAAGTACGCAAGACGTAGGAGCCGTTAGCTTTGCTAATTGTGGCCCACACAGCATTTCAGCAAGGATCCTCTCTGCTAAGCTTGGACTCGAAGACATTGAACAACAGACCCAAGATCATGTGGAAAAGCCAGTACTGAGCTTGGAGGAGCCTGGAGCTCTTCATCGTAACCTTCTCTTTGAAGTTCCAAAATTGCTGGCCAGCCCCTCAGAGCAGGAGCAGCCATCCTTGTCCTGACAGTCCACCCAGGGCAGCAGTGAGCCTCACCTGTGTGGGATGGGACCAAGGCCTCTGTCTGATTCCCAACCCCATCCAGCCCCCTCTCTCCAGCGCTTCCCACCCCCGTTTGCCTGTACCCAAGCTAGAGTTCCGACAGTCTAACTCTTTCCCACACTACCACCCTGGACCTTGAGGCAGTGAAGCAGTCACAGTCGTCAACTGGAGGACACATAGCCTGGAGCCCAGGTGAGGCTTGCAGACTCAGTAGCTTGGAGCTATCAAACGGCCATCATGCATTACCGCAAGCCCTGCCCAGAGGCTGAGTGAAGGCCATCGGGCTGACTGAGCCACAGCTCTGAAAGAATGCCACAGCTCAGTGGCTCCCAGCTTTGCCGTACCTCGCAATCACCTGGGGAGCTTTGAAAACTCTCAGTGACTGGGCTGCGTATCCTACCAGTGAAATCAGAATATCTCAGGATGGGAGTCAGGCAGCAGTTGTTTTGGTTTTTTTTTTTTTTTTTTTTTTTAAGAACCCAGGTGATGGGAGGCCGAGGCAGGCGGATCACAAAGTCAGCAGTTCGAGACCAGCCTGGCCAATATGGCAAAACCCCATTTCTACTGAAAAATAAAAAAGAAATTAGCTGGACATGGTGGCGTACACCTGTAGTCCCAGCTACTCGGGAGACTGAGGCAGGAAAATCGCTTGAATCCAGGAGGCGTAGGTTGCAGTGAGCCAGGATTGCGCCACTGCACTCCAGTCTGGGTGACAAAAGAACCCAGATGATTCCAATGTGCAGCAAAGTTTGGGAACCACTGGCACAATTGCTGTAGGGGAGGGGAGGGGGCCTGGAGGAGGAGCCAGGTCAGGCTAAATGAAGGTGGGGCCCAAACTCAGTCACATATTTGAAATCTGTCATCTTACCCACACTAATCCTAATGTGTTTTGAGCAGCACATATGCTTCGGGCCTAATGCTATATGCCCTCGGTACACAAACATTCACAGTGCACCCTTGGTGGGCAGCAGTCTCCTTTATACTCCACATCCTATGAGTGTAATTAACCCTGGATGTACATAATCACTGGCATTTCTAATCACAGGCATGCCACCGTCCCCTGTCTCTAACCTGGCTGTTTGACAGCCCTCCTGGTCCACCTCCTGGAAGCTGGTATTCTTGCCAATTTCTCTTTCACCTCTGTCCCCAAGTCCAAGTGGCCAAAAGCTGGGAACAGGATGAGTCACGCTCAGGCTGCCTGGCTTGCTGCTGACCAGATGGGGAGGGTGATGCTGACAGATATGAAGAAGGTCATGTGTGATGGCATCAGGGTGGTGGGCAGTGGGGGTCCCTTTCCCCTCCCAGCATCAGGGGGGTAAGGAGACACAGACTCCCAAAGTGTGGAAAGAGGGGATCCTGAAGGCCCACGGCTGGAGCCTTGGAGGGAACAAGCAAGATAAGGGGAACGTACAGCTCTACGGGTCAGCTCAGGGCCACTTTGAAGGGACGAGGACCCATGGAGGTTGGAAGCTTGAGCCCTGCCCTGGGCACTGATGAGTGAGTGGGAGCCAGAGGAAGGGACAGTCCAGAGAATGCTAGAGTCCCTGTGCCGGGGGGCCTGGTCTGGGGGCAGGGGAGCAACAGGGGAAGCCTTGAGGTGTAGTCAGTGAAGATATGGAATGTGCAACGTCCACATCGCCACCTAAGAATGTTTATCCCAAGGAGATATCACAGCACATAGATGTGGGACCGAGAAGCTTTCAGGTTCCAGTCTGCCTCTACCCTGTCTGCGTTAGCACCCTTAAGATTTGGCGTGGAGGCGTCTGATGGATGGAAAGTCTCCTTGGGGAGGAGAAGGCAATGGAGGTGCTTTCGGGTAAGGCCCAGACTTTTCTGGAGCTCAGAGCATTTCCTCACAGGTATTTACAAGAAGTCGCCAGATGGAATGACCAGGCTCACTGACATGGGGCTCCTGGCTCTTA